TCTGCGAAGGAAAAAAGTTGATCAGCAGGCAAAACGGTGGAAGAGGCACGCCGGGATGCTAACCAGGTTCCATCTATCCTTAACAATCCCATCGACGCCAAAAACTACCTTCTCCTTACGATCTTCATCAACTTCATCAACCCATGTTTCAGGTACCACATTAGCACACTCCTCGTGTGCCATCCAGACTTTGGGGAATCCGCAAGCTTCCATAGCTTCTTTTCTTCGGCTCGGTGGATCTTGCACGCGTAGCAAACCTTCCTTGCTCTGTGATACGCACAAACAACATGGAAACGTGTCGGGTTCGGTAGGCCGTGGACCAAGCTTTAGCGTTAGTTTCGGTGGAGCCGAGGGTGCTGACGGAGGAATCTTCAAGCTTAGCGGTGGTCTGGAAGAGGATGACGACGTCGAAGAAGTTGACTTCGAAGACGAGGGTTTTGTCTTTTGTTTCTTTGGCTTTGGCGCGCTCTCCAGGTCATTCTCGACTTTCCGCTTTGCAAATTTGGGTAAGGGAGGAATAATGAGAGTTAGCTCTTCATGTTTTACTCGGTCCTCGGATACGGCAGCACTTTGTTTGGGCACCTTCCTCGGCGATTTGGGACCCTCAGCTTCTAGCCTCTCGCGTTCACGGTCTCGTAGCAACTGGTCCACATCGATTCGAACGCTGAATGACGTTGACGGTATTAGTCGTTAAACGTACTAGAACACGAAAGATATTGCACCTGTCACCAACGCATTCGCAAGCTTTTGCTACTCTGCCAATCTCCAACCAACTCTTTAGAGCAAAGTTGACACTTTCTGCACAATTGAAGCCCAAGTTGAAACCAGCGTGGTAGCCTCTAGGGTATGTGATGATGAATTCACCAGCATGCTGCACTACGTGGTTAGGTTTGCACGAAGACTTGGCAAGCAAAGTAGGCGATAAAAGGAAGGATTTGTGTCGTAGGAATTGAGAACATTCTGATGTATCTTTGGGAAAATAATCTAAAAGAAAGAATGAATACCTAGTACTGTATTTTCTTGGAAAGAAATTGGACCCACTTCGCATCGTCTGTTCCAGTCTGTTTGCTTGTTGTTGTGGAATTGCATACCAGAACTTTGGAGCACCAAAGTGGATATAGTTGATGCTGAAGAGGTCCATATCCTCGACATGCCAAGCAAAGGTAGCTCGCCACATGCCCCAGTATAGATATGGAGTGTTCACACCAGGAAGGCCCCTGTCACTGGAGGGCAGGAGTCGAGATAGCTCAGACTCGAGATGAGCAACATTCCACTCCTGAGTCTCGTCGGTATATAGGGAGCCTAAAAGTCGTTGAGCGACAGCGACGAAGAAGAAAAGAGAAACTTGCCTTGGGTGTCAGCACCATACCAAGGGTCTTTGCCTAATCCACAATTTCGCCAGTAGTGCCTTTCCAGTTGGGCACAAAATTCGGGAGTGTAGTCATCGGCCTTAGTGTTCGGCGGTAGCCAAGCAGTACCAGGATCGAAAGTCTCAAGAAATGCTGCATCCTTCTCCAGTCGCTCAGCGGCTCTCGCTTCTCTGACTTCTTTCGTTTGTGCTTGACGGCGACCCTTCACTTTCGGTTTCTCTTCGGCATCGGCCGATGTCACAGGTGACCCAGATACTAAATAACAAAACAAGCTCAACTCAAATATCGCTGTACAGGACGCACAGAGACGCACCGCGCTCATGGGCTGCCGATATTGCGTCGTCCACGGGCTCCTCTTTGATGAAGACTTCGTCGTCGACGGCATCGGGCTCAACTGTTTCGGCCTTGACGGTAGCTTTTCGTGTCTTACGCGCCCTGGTGTTCTTCGGGGTTGCACGAGCACCTAACCCGTCGACGCTAGGTGCCCGGTAATCATCCTGATTGCACAGGTCTGACCATTCGCGCACGCTCATCGTTCTGCGTTTCTCTATGTTTTGCTGACGGAAGAGACCGGCACGTCCGAGCATATGTTGTTCAATTGGGGTTTTGATCTTCACGGACTGCAGTTGTTCCCTCAGAGGAGGTAATGCATCAGTCCTGAAACGAGAAATCTATGAGGCTCGAATGCTAGACAGTTCTGAGACCCAACGACACGTACCATTCTTTAGGGGGTATTACTTTCACAATTCCGCTATACATGCCCCAACACTCGACTCTATTCATATAAGCCTCAAAATCTCCAAATTCCTCCATTGTTGGCTTGAAAACTGGTATGCCCCGAGAAGCTAAGCGGTCATCTTCAGGGTCAAGCCATGTCTTGCCGTAGACATTAGGAGATGGATGGGCTGTAGGCTGATCATCTGAACGGTAGAAATGGTCGGGTTGAACTGGAATATACGGTGGTGGTGACGAGCCCACGCTAGGAGTGAGTGAGGGAGTGAGGGAAGGGGTTGGAGACGAAGCCATCTGCTAAATTGGCATGTACACAGTGACGTAGGCTAGCTGGAAGCAAGAAATTGCTCAAAAAAGAGGTGAATATATGAAAGAGCTGCTGGCCGATGTTGAAAATGACTGTTAAGGCGGCAGTTATCGCTGCTCGTCGTCGACGACGACCTAGAATAAGCGGAGACCAAATTCCAGGCTAGTCTCGCCAGCACGTGCTCCAATGCCGCACGACGGCTGACTTAAGTTCTGTCCCAAAGCCTCGATTCTAAAATCTGGAATTTTATATTCCCTCATTATTGAGTCATTGTCCTCCGAGTCTGTAAATGCTGTGTCGAATCTGAAGCCTGAAGACTTACATACTACCTATTTGACCTCAAAATCCCAAGTACTTAGAAACAATTCGAATGCGGCCTTGAAGACTCGGTTATTCTTCCCCCTTTTGTATATTCTTCTCCCGGCAAGACGAGGCTTAGAGGGTTTAACAAGAAATCGTGAAGAATAAAGCTACGCTTGCATTTTCGGTCTGTCATGCAGGACTAGACATCTCTTCGTGATATGATTGACGATGCAATCAGTCTTTTTAAAATAAAACAAGTAATACGAGTCTTCGTCGCGATCTTTCGTTGTGTGTATGTGCACTCAGCTGGGATTGATTTTGATGATCGTACACTTGAAATCAGTCCTTCGGAAATTGGCAGAGACGTGATGACAGTCAATCGCTCACTCCTCCGCTTAATGCGGGATCGTAAGTCAACCAGGGGCTGAGGGTAGGTGATTCGAGTCCACTGATTTTGATACTTACCTATGCTAATTTCAGTACTGTTTGCATACTTGGATGTTTCTGGACATGTGTCCTCCGAAGCAAAGATTCCATATGGACATGATCTATGCAATAACACATGTTCATGTTTACAATTTGAACTTTTTTCGGGTTGTATGCTGAGAACACCCAGTTCCCTCACCCAGTTCCCTCAGTCGATAGTGATCAAAATTCAAAATTCATCTGGTGTCGGTACCCAAGAGCCGAAACGCGGTGAAACATATGGTATACGGCGCCGTTTTACCTCAGATAGCCATCTACTTCCTTGGCTGTAACGCTGCAGATCACACGGCCTTAACCCGTAGAAAGGTATTTAAACAGACCGTCGATAACTCGGATCCCTTCAGGTTCTTCCTCTCTATCATGATGTCACGAGTTATCCTCCGTTCGACCTTTGTCCTCTCTGTCCTGTGCTCTCGATGTTATTTCGTGGATGCTAAATCGGCCCCTACCAGGTTTGAGAAGCGACAGACCACTACGTATACATTGGAGGACATGTACCAAGGCGAATCTTTCTTCAAGTATGTGAGAGGTTGACTGCACTCGATTGATAAATTTTAGTTTCTCATGAACAAACGAAATCGGTAGCGATTGGAACTTCTTCTCCGAGCCTGATCCGACTCAAGGTTTGGTCGATTATCAAACCAGGGAAAACGCATTATCAAGAGGACTTGCGTTCGTTCAAGATGGAGTCACCGTGCTGGCGGTTGATAATACTACAACAGTACCTACAGGATCAAATCGTGCTTCGTACGATTTCCCAAAATTTTTTATGCAAAAGAGTGTTCTGATTTACTTCGAATTTGTGTCCAGGGTCCGTATTGAGTCCAAGACACACTACACAACAGGTTTATTCATCGCCGATTTTGTGGCAACACCCTTTGGCTGCAGCACTTGGCCCGCTTGGTGGTAAAGCACATCCTCACAGGTCCTTATTTTCTTGTCCTCTCTAATGTATTCTGCCTACTGCATAGGTCATATGGCCACACTGACTATCCCAACTCAGGTGAACTCGACGTAATCGAATCTGTAAATGAGCTCTCCTCCAACTTCCTTACATTTTGGCGCGCGGGAAGTGCTCAATGTACATTCCCCACTTCCTCCCATGGGTCCGCCACAGGAAGTATTACCGATGAATCTAAATGTACTGAGAGCACCACAGATCAAATCAACTGCGCTTTTGAGGATGGTTCGGGCAGCGGCTGGGGAGAGGGTTTTAACAATGCAGGTGGAGGCGTCTATGCCCACCTCATTAATGCTGAAGGTATAAAAATTTGGCATTTCCCTCGAGCAAACATTCCAGTAGACATCGCCAACAAGAACCCAAACCCAAGCTCTTGGGGAGCCCCCGTAGCGCAGTGGGGGTCGGATTCGTGCAATGTATTGGAAAGAATTGTTGATCATACGCTCACCATCAACACCTCGTTGTGTGGAAGCTGGGCCGGGGATGACGACGTTTGGAGTACCTCTGGTTGTCCGGGCAGTTGTGCGGAAACAGTTGCAAATCCGGAAAATTTCCACAGTAAGTTGCTCGAAAGCGATGATGACTTCCCCGAGATACGAGCTGAACGGTTGAACAGATGCGCGCTGGAAAATAAATTATATTGCCGTGTATCAGGCAGCGACATAATATATCGATACTTATGATAGATATGATAGGTGAATGATTTACAGGCAAAATATATGACTAAATTTTATGGGTTCACCTTAAACTGAACAAAATTCAGAGTACTTCGATAAGTAATAGAACGTAAAGCGTTGCAACTTGAACAAAAAAAAAAATTTCCATGAGGCGCCACTACATTCTGCCCCAGAGAGGCTCGAACTCTCGACCTTCCGATATCACATTCCTTTTTCCGCTTGGAATATAACAGTCGGACGCTGTAACCAACTCAGCCATGGGGCAGCTATTGGTGTTGAAAAGACACTCAGCAGATGTAATCTCTTTAAGTCTGGCCTGCAGATGGCCAGGATCATGAACATTGTTCAAGACGGTTCTTGCGGTGATCAACTCGATTGGCAAACCCAGGATCCATGGCTGGGCCGCGCGACACCCCCTTTGGAAGGTGCAATCACTTTGACCACCAATATCACTCAAACAGTTGATTGTTGCAATGTGTAAGGAAAAATAAAAGTTACTCTATCTAGCCGACACTACATCAGCACTATCTTGCACTAATTCTACCCCGTATCCCTCTAGGTAACCTCTCCTTCCATTTTCTTCTGTACGGAGACACCGTAGAGCGCTTTTCAATCTACCGATCGACCTCACTGCACAGGACGAAGTATCACAAGTCAGCAGAGCGGAGACGCAGAAATGATTATGAATGACTTACCCGAACACGAGATCCATAGTACCAATGATAGCGACGGCGTCTGCAAGCATGTGCTGTGAAACGAGGAGCAAAAGGTCAGCGTCGGGTAGCGAGAGAAAGGTACGAAGTTAATCGTCAGGTAGGCACTAATGTCAGATGTGCAGGAATGCTCATTGACAGAAAATAGAGTTGTGCATCACCGGAAGCCTGAAGTGGCGCACAAACTCCCATTAGATATTCCGAGCCCGGTGGCAACGAGAGGTACTGGCCTACTCGTTATGATGACACACCCAGACTACCCAACGTCGGTGGTGATTTCCACCAAGATACAGGTCACAAAACTGCACAAGTCGCAGATACTCACATCTATAATCCGAACAGAAGCCATGTCAACATTAGCCATATAAAATTTAGGGACAGTATACGTACGTCTCATGATGAAATCAGCACCAGCCAGATGAGCGAACCCGGGTGCACGGATGGAGCAACGATAGGGTCGGTTAGTTCCGTCACTAGAAGTAGGTGGTGAGTTTACTCGTTTTGGGTGACAAAAGAAGTCAAAGACGGCCGCGAGGAGACACTTACGACACTAGGTAAACACCCATCTCTCCTTTGGGTGCTTCAATAGCACTATAAGTCTCGCCAGGAGGAACCGAGTAACCTTCGGAGAAAAGCTGTGAACAAGTAAGCATGAGGAGCTCAGAAAAGATTGAGAGGCCATAGGAAAACGAGAGTCGATCCCAGAGTGGGGGGAAGGTAAAGACTAGCTTGAAGTTATGGAACACCGGGGTGCAAACGGTAAAGATAGGATTGTCCAACAAAGACACATACCTTAAAGTGATGAATCAGACTCTCCATGCTCTCCTTCATCGACGCCCGAGGAGGAGGAACAAGTTTGTGGTCATCAACTTTGTAAGCACCAGGAGTGATCTTATTCAAACACTGAGGTAAAACGAATCAAGATCAGCAATCACCATTATAGCTTGACTAGTCAACACGAGTCCAATCACATACCTGGCTGATGATCCTTAAACTTTCCCTCATCTCTTGTACACGACATAAGTATCTGTCGTAACAGTCACCATTGGTTCCGACAGGAATGTCGAATTCGAGCTGCACCGCACAAGCGTCAGTTACATCCTCGAGATAGTCAAAAAAACAGACATACCTGGTCGTACATATCATACGGCTGGGTCCTCCTCAAATCCCAGGGCACACCAGATCCTCTCAACATGACTCCACTAAAGCTGTAATTCAATGCCTCGTCTTTGCTCACAACACCGACGCCAATTGTCCGCTCTTTCCAGATTCGATTGCCTGTCACGACCTCTTCTATCTCATCGATTCTAGAGCCGAATTGCGTTGCCCATTTGAAGATGTCGTCGAGAAGACCGTGGGGAAGATCGAAAGCAACGCCTCCAGGACGAACGTAAGCAGAGTGGAGACGAGCACCGGAGACACGCTCGTAGAATTCCATAAGCTTTTCACGCTCCTCGAAACCCCAAAGGAAGGGAGTGAGTGCACCAACATCCATAGCGTGTGTAAGGACAGCCATGAGGTCTACAGGACGGTGGCGGAGGTAAGCGGATTTGAAGGTGCGTAAAAGCGAGAGAAAAACGCACGGTTGAGGATTCTGGTAATCTCACCAAAGAGCGTACGAATCCACTTAGCACGGTCAGGGACGTCAATGTTTAATAGTTTTTCGACGGCACGGGAGTAACAAAGCTCGTTGGTCACTATTCACAGTGAAGTGGTTGAGCATAATGATATAAATAAGGGCTAGAGACATACTCATGGAAACGTAGTCGAGACGATCGAAGTACGGAAGGGCCTGCGTATACGTCTTATATTCGATGAGTTTTTCGGTACCTCGGTGAAGTAAACCAATATGCTATAGACGATTTAGAGCAAGCCAAAGGAACGAGGAGGGAGGAACACACCGGATCAGCACGAAGGATTTCCTCTCCATTGAGTTCGAGAATCAGACGAAGCACACCGTGTGCAGCCGGATGTTGCGGTCTGGGTAAATGTCAGTCTACAACTTTTCCACCTCAGTGAGACGAGGGATCATACCCAAAGTTAACTATAAACAGAACAGAGTAAGCTTAGTTTTCCCAATGAAAACAACAAAAATATGCACCAGTGAAATGTCTCATCTTCGCATCCGCTCGACTGCCTGTCTCTGCCAGAATCTGTGACGCGTGCATTCCTTGCAAATCCTCAACGGTATGATATTCAAAAACATTTTTCGCTCCAGTAGTTTGAGCTGTTTCCTGAGGCTGTGCAGAATTTGCCAGCACTGCTGGTGTCGAGCTCAACATCCTGCTATGTTGCCCATGGGTCCTTGACGTGGATTGGAGCACACGAGATATTGAGGAATTAGAAGTACTTGTTGTCGGATAGCGCGACGAGCGCGCAGCTGAACGAAGGAAAAGCGAGGCCATCGTCGCAAACGACAGCGACGACGTATGTTGAAGCTCAGGAAATACACGGAATGCGATTGGACGTCACAGTCACATCACTGGTCACTCATTCCACATTACGCCGCATATGCGTTGTCTGAAAGTCGTTTGGCCTTGGCTTTATGCTGCTATGTTGTACTTCGAGTGCTTGATTCAAAGTTACAGGTACTCAGCTTCCTGTGTTTCTTCCGGCGAAAAAGTTCTGCAGAAAAGTTTCACACCATTAGAGTCTTAATGATCCGGCCTCAGACTGGATCTCACAGATGTCTTCATTTATAGCATACCCAAGGATTATCAGCTCTTTCAATTCAACTAAAGTCGTTGGCACGTTGGGAGTGCAAGTAGTATCTCGATTTCGAACTCGACCAGAGCTGGCCTAATGACCTGATCGCTTCATGTGGACATTCAACGTGTCTCGCGTGGCACGTATTCGGCCATAATCCCCACGTACCTGCAAGTGCTAAACAAAATTGAAAACACGCCCAAATTCTTCACAGAGTTCATGTAAGTTCTCAGTTCTCATGATCAACCTTTTGCTTCTCCATACAAAATCCCCTCGACCTCCCATTGGTCAAAGCTCCGTCAATTTTTCCTTTTCAGTCCATCGGACCAACGACGGATCCGAAAAATTGCGCCACTTCCGAACCCGGACCCAGAGGCTCTGCTTTGCCACCAAGGTCTAGGCCAATCAACTTCACGCCAAACTTCCTCCGTCAAAATGGCAAAAGCCACAGCCATTCCCTAAATTAACACTTACACTTATACTTAGACCGAAAGTTTTTTTACCAAAACTTAATCTAAGTACGTGAAATCTAAGTTCCTCCCTATCTTCCGCGTGCCGGCAACAAATATCAATGTCAGGTGTCACTTTTTTGACTTGAACAATTATTTGTCCATTCTGGCAGTCAAATGGGAAACCAAAAAGGGATGGCATATCCGACAGTACGGGGGAGGGTACGGGAAGGCCAAAGGGAGACAACATATGAAGGTCCATGGTCGCAAACACGTTTTTTTCGGGAAGGTATGTATGGGTGTTTCGGACGAAAGAATTTGATTCTTAATGTAAACTTCTGAACTCCTTTTTTGACATGACGCTGGGAATGTTTTTGGGACGTCTTCATTCATCGCTAACCCTCGACGAGTGAGTGAAGTAGATCGATCCCAAATCATGTTGATCGTCTTATGAATCGATATGCCTCAAAGTCTCTTTGCTCGTCTCGAAAGTACTTTATAGTACTTTACAGTCTATTTTCAGTGAGTGCAATGATCGACGGAACGGTTAAACTAGATGGTAGAATTTGAGAAAATAGGCTTGGTACGTACCCCTTGCGACTCGGAGTCCCATTTATAGACCGACAGGCCGCGTTTATTCGCGGATCTATCTATCATAGTATCAACCGAGCCACTGTGCAGTATTCCGTCTTGCTTGACTCAGAACTATGAATACCGGTTGATCTCAACCACCTGACAGCTACATCCTGTACATTCCCGTACCAGATCCCCATCCCTAGAGCTCTCGGGATCGCTCATCAAACTAATTAATTGATATCATATGTATACCAAAATTGAAGTTGTCGGAGTTATTGTTTTTCTATTCCATCTTTGAATTTTTCCTCTACCAGATACATTGATTCATTGATTGACACAGAATCTGTCGAACCCGTGTAAACGTGTAGTGTGTAGTATGGGTAGAGTCGTACGTAGTCTGAAGTTCTAGTAGACACATCCAATCCCAATCTATTCAAAAACCCGACGTTCTAGACAATTCTGATTCTACACAAATCCCCGATTGTCCTGTGTCAAACGCGTCGGCGAAAGTCTGTACATGCATACATAACGAGTACTTCGGTTCTCTGGTATTGATGATATTGAACATCGAAGAAATCAACCATCAATATCAATATCCATAACGCATCCTTTCAAAGTTCATGTACATAGATCCAGACTGCTCAACCGCTGTATCAAAGCGCACTAGCATGTCTATATCCTTTTTTAGCTTTCAAAGCAAGATCAAAGGGGGTTTGAAAAAACTGCCGCGCAGGTTCTCCGAAAAGAGACTACATGATCAGTCGAAGGTTTGAAAGAAGCTTGATCTCCACCATTAATGTGCTATCTGGGACACGTAGCTG